TACAAACATCCTCTTTTATACTTATAAGATATGACTTTGTTTACATTAATTTTGTTTTGTTTTGTTCCACTGAAAAAAGCTAACTTACAATAATTTGGTACAGAATAAAAATATGTATTAAAACATAAATCAACTTTCTTTTCATAGTACTGTACATAGCAATTCTCATCAGGCTTGTATGGGTTAGCTACTGCTTTTTCAATGTCAGATGAGAGGGATGGAGGTTCAGCAATGTTTGTGAAAAAAAAATTCAATTTGAAGTTTTAAATCTGGTAGAATTCTCTGAACAAAACATTTTTGAAATTGCTGGCATAAACTTGAAATTTTGTAATGACGTCTACAGCATCATAGGAGTATACAGACCTCCAGGGTCTAATATACCTTTGGTTTCTATATGTCTCAGAAGGTCCACTTCTTTTCCACTCTGCACGAGATACTTGGTGTAACATCGAAGAATAAACAAGGAATTAAATGTTTGCCAGGTGAACATATTGCTGAAATCAGAAAAAAAATGTTTCGTCAAATGAATTCAGCATTCACTAGGTTGTGAATTTTATGCTTCTCATTGTTATTGCTCTGCATTACATGTTTGAGAACATTTAACATAGTATGTTGCGTAAACCTTTACTCCGAATTCAACCTGTTTATTTCTGAAGCTAACCCTATGGAAATCTCTACAAATATATTTACAACTGGCATAATCCAATATTTTAATGAAAATCGTTTATCAGTAAATATAGATAAGACAGCTTTTTTGAATTTTTCAACCAGAATGTTAAGTTTTGACCCTAAAATTTTGGTGGAAGAAGATCAGGTCATAGATATTGTTCCCCAAACTAAATTCTTGGGTCTCATGGTAAACAGTTCACTGAACTGGAATGATCATATAAAATACCTTAGTACAAAATTATCAAGGTCAGTTTTTATATTAAGAAGATTTGGTAAAGTAGGTTCTATTGAAACTTTGAAAACAATCTACTACTCATTTTTTTATTCCAATTTAACGTACTGTATCGAAATATGGGGATACCAAAACTAACATAAATCAACTTCTAGCCATTCAACAAAAAGCTTTGAGGTGTATGGTGGGACTGAGCTTTGGGGATTCTTGTGAGAAAACTTTCAAAAATCTTGAGATTCTTACCGTTCCTTGCATAATCATTTACCGAGTTTTAATATATTTCAAAGCTAACATCTTTAAAACAACAAATGAACAAATTCACTCATATGACACTAGAGGTAAAAGTAACATCCATATCAGTAGGCATGACATAAGGCGACTAGCATTGGCAAGTATTTTTTTTTTTGCTCCAAGATTTTGGAACCATCTACCAAATCAATTTCAAAATTTCCCTCTTAATTTATTTAAAAAGAAGTTGAAGAAAGTTTTAATTAAGCTCTGTTTGTTCACAATAGATGAATTTTGGCTAGTGACTAAACATGAATTTGATTTACTAATTATAGAATGTTAGAATCTTACTAATATTATAAATGTGAAAGTTTGTGTGTTTGTTTGTTTGTTTGTTTGAAGTTCAATCACGCATAAACCACTGGACGGATTGGGCTGAAATTTGGCATGATGATAGCTTACATTCCCGATTAACACATAGGCATATTCTTATCTCAAAAATCCTTTCGGGCTCCGCCCCAGTGGCTCTGTAATTTCCCATGTTAACCTTATGAGTATTCATATTTAGGAATTAAAGAATTTAGTCAGCTGTTTCAACTAAAAAAGTTGGTTCTATGATATGGAAAAGCATTAAAAAGTTATAAGATTTACCAACAGGGTGCAGCACTATATTTTTTTTTGCATTTATGAAAACAGCTAATTTGAACTAAGCAGCAACAAAAAACTGTGATTCGCAATGAGAACTGTCAAAGTAGGATTGTTTACAGTTATGTTTATGTTTTTCATTTCATGAATAATTTGTAATATTTTGCGAATTGTTGATAATTTATTTTTCTCTATTGTTTAGGTGAAGTGGTAGAACATTATGGCTATAGTAGATGTGTAATACTATAGAATACTGTAAATTTAAAAAAGCAAATTTTATCAAACTGTGTCCTCCCTTATTGCAAACGCATAGCTTGAGTATAACTGCAATAAGTATTTTATACTTATATTCCAACCCCGTACGAAGGACGGGTACTCTGCTAGTATGTTATAAGGTGAAGAAGTTAAATTGTGTTGAATTATGTTTATGTTTAGGATTAATTGACGAGTTAGGAGATACTAAATGTACCACATTATGTATTTTACTAACAATTAAAGTTCTTGTATCTTGTATCTTGTATTTATCCAATTTCGTTTGGTCCAAAATTGTTTGGTCCAACAGTTAAAAACTCGTTTGTTTGGTCCAAAATCATTTTACCCAAAAGTACAGGCCAAACTAGAAGTACAATTTTGCATTGTGGAGTAAACTTATGAAATATACTGTACGTTTCACAGTGGACCATTCGAACGGGTTGTTTTATCCAACACTTTAATACGAGTTCGTTCGGTCCAACAGTATAAACTATTTTGTCTCTCACATTGAAGGCAATCAAATATCCGCCATCATATACAATAATAATATTAATAACATTTTTGCTTTAAACATGCCGACTTTCTCTGTTTTAAACGTTAAAGACACCATGTTTTGTAGTATCCAAACCACTAAAGCGTACAAGCGTACATAAGCAGACTTAAAGCTCAATAGTGTAAAAATAAATAAATCACTGACATCTTCAATAACCAAACGATGGTTTACAGAAATGAAATTTACTATCATGACTTAACATTAGATGGCAAAAACTTAAAATGATTGTATGTACTGTAAAACTCAAATATACTTAAGTGTTTTATATGTATAGTAGTAAATTGCAAATTTAGTGATAACGCACATCCTTTATGGTAAGTAAAACTACATTTTAAAGTTAAATATTATGTCGGCAAACAACGACAAACACAACATTTGTGTAAACAAAACACTATTAACATAAACATTTACATGTAATTTAATTTGAAGCCACCTTTTCACCTTTTAGAAAAAACAACATTAAACAACTTTGAATTGTTTAGTACACAATTTACATTTTCTATAACACAGTGAAGTTAGCCTTACGTACGTACGGTTATGGCTTCGACATCCCCTTTATTTCTTAATTATCTATCATTCTATTTAAATTCATTAATATTCGTAAATTGGTTCAAAATATCAAAATAAAAAACGCGTTCATACATATATATATATTTCAGACTAGTATTTATCCGGCACGCGTTGCAGTGCTAACAACTATTAAATGTATAAAAAAAATTTATAATTTTTATTTGACCTAATTGCCACTGAATAAACAATGTTTTTTATCAATAGGTATATAAATTGTACAAGTTTTTAGGCGTCGCTGCCACCAAGTATGCACGCAACATAAAGCTGTCAGTGTGAAAATCATGCATTTTCTAATTTTAAACCGGTGACAGTCAGGGATTGCCCTTGTGTCTTATCATAGTGATTGCGAGAGCAAGACGCAAATGAAATTGTTGTCGCTTGAATTCAAAGGGTATTTCAGATGATACCGTTGGTATTCTTGGGACTATTTCTACTTCAAACTTATCACTTATGATTGTTCCTTTGATGTTTTTTATAGTCAGTCTGGTTCCGTTGCACAGCTTGGGTGGACCTAAGTTTCACATTAGTATTATTGGCATTCCTTCTTTTAGTGACAGTAATGTGGTTTATAAAAAATTGCGAGGCATTTGTATATCTGAGATAGCACGCACAATTATTTTTCACGATTTATGTTACATTGTGTGGGTATAGAACAAGGATAATAATATCAAAGAATTACCATCCCTTTCATTGATTATAATACTGCGATTATAAACATACCAAACTTAACATTAACTTGGCTTTTGGAGTCAATAGGGTACATACATACATAAATAAATACATACCTCCTCTATTATACAGGATGAACAACTTAACTGTGCCACCATTGGTATCTCATAAACTATTAGATTTAGAGAGAACATTAAATGGGGAAATTCAAGTAGTTTTTAATGATATTAAAAAATATGAATTCCAATGTTTCAAAAATGGCCACCATTTTCCAATATGGCGGCTAACTTTGAAATTTCATATGGAACACCCTATATTATATCATGTTTTCGGATAGAACATGCAATTTAAAAACTTTTTTATTCTAGACATTTTTTCGATAAACCCACTCGTTTAGGAGTTACAGCCTATGGAAAAATGACTTCCGGTGTACATTTTACATCATGTAGCTCCTAAACAAGTAGGTTTATAGCAAAAATGTGAAGAGTAAATAAGTCAAATAAGTCTTAAAATTGCATCCACATTCCATTAAGACCATAAAATATAATAGAGGAGGTATGTATTTATTTATGTATGTATGTAGGCCTACCCTATTGACTCCAAAAGCCAAGTTAATGTTAAGTTTGGTATGTTTATAATCGCAGTATTATAATCAATGAAAGGGATGGTAATTCTTTGATATTATTATCCTTGTTCTATACCCACACAATGTAACATAAATCGTGAAAAATAATTGTGCCTGCTATCTCAGATATAATGCCTAGCAATTTTTTATAAACCACATTACTGTCACTAAAAGAAGGAATGCCAATAATACTAATGTGAAACTTAGGTCCACCCAAGCTGTGCAACGGAACCAGACTGACTATAAAAAACATCAAAGGAACAATCATAAGACCAGCTCGCTCCTAGAACATCAGGTTGAAAATATCTGCAGAAGGTTGTATATGCGACCCAAGAATGAGTGGTGAAAGGTACCCTTTGCTGCAGTTCTACGTTTGAGCTTAGCGCACCATAATAGTTTGGAAAATGAATTTACTTCAGAGGTAGCGCTGTGAGCTAAGGAAAGTCAATTCTCTGAAGCTATTGCTGCTTTAAGTATTTTTTTTCAAACCCCAAAAGCCCTACATACAACCAGTCATTATTAATCTTTCAATTAACCATTATTGTTTATATCCTCAGAACCGAAACAGCCTTTTGGAGCAAGTAGGAGAAGGGGAAGGAGAAGGTGAACAATCTCGCTCTGCTCCAGTGTCAACCAAACAAGCCTGGCGTCGCTCTGTGGATGGATCCAACCTCCGCCACCACCATAGACAGAGCTCAGACTCGGGGGCTGTTGAACATCCGGTGCTTGAGTGCAGGTAATTTAAGAAGCTTGTCCTTAGAAAACGGGATATACCCTGTTTTGCTTTCAAAATGGCTAGATGAGCATGAGATGCAACTGATCCCACACACCCTTCTCTTGAAACATCACATCTACAACTGTATCTGCAGTGGCAGGTCCCACCTAACTAAGAGAGGAGATGTTGCCTTCCTTTGACAAAATGTAACCACATAAAGAAATTGTGTTGAACATCATCATCATCCTGCTCTGAGCTGAGGTAACCTTTCAACCGTCTCCATCAAGTGGAGGTATTTCCTAAAGCAACTGCAATCCTAACAATTTATTGACACAGTTTACCATTCAAGCGGTCAGATTTACGAATTCAACAATCCTCAATGTCAAAGTAACAACTGGTCCTGCCAGGTCTCGAGTACAGTCAAGTGTCTGATGTAGAGTTAAAGTACAACTGTTCCAAGTCTTTGACTCTTGGCAGATATATTTTATAGTATTGTAGGCCTAACACTATGATTTATTTGTTTCTTAGCCAGAGTGAGGTGGATCTCTCCCGACGCAGTGTAAGGGCCTGGTCTCCTGTTCGGTCCGTGGGATCTGTGCTAGGTATGGAAGCTATGCCTTCTACTGACCCGTCCCTTGTACTGGACCCCGAGTGTGAGCGGGACGTGTTCCGAGAGCGAGACGGAGACATTGGAGAGCCTAGCTGGGACCAAGCTGCTACAATGTGGGTGTGTGTAGAGGCTGGAGCAGTCACAGTGGACCCAGCAGTGCTGCCCAACTGGTGAGCTGAATAGTTTTTAACAAATTTCTGATTTAGGGGACCTATTACCATAGGTCTCATTTTAAGACCTACACCCTGAATCCACAGCCTCACCAGGGTCATTAGTTGTTTAGCCATACAGTATTATTTATTCTTAAAAATGTTTGATCATGTTCATGTCTCGTATATGTGTTGAAGACTTTTTGACGACCTCCTAGGAGCGACAATGACACGTCTAAGGCTTGACAGTGACTTCTTAAGTGGGTCAAAACCGGTCGGCATTCAAACAACCAAGGATTACATTGGCAACAAGGTATTTAATCTTTGGAAAAGTAATTGTTAAGTAATCCGGAAGGCAACACTTAAAAAATGAAAACGGGTAAAAGTTGAGTTATAAAGGTCGTGACGTAACATCATTATGAGAATCCAACACCTTGGTATCTCAAATGTTGTGTATAGGTATAGCACCTCGCTTACTCAAAAAAAAAAAAAAAAACTATAATCCCATTCAGACTCGAGATATCAAGGTCCTACTGTAGTATTGTTGGTATTTAAACAGCCTAAACAACTGACTGTTAATTGCAAATTTGTGGTCCTCTTTACTATCATACTCTGAATGTAGTTGGGGTATACTGATGCAGGTTCCATGAGGGTGTACTCAGCGGGCAGTTTGAGAGTGCTCCGTGGAGAACTAAGATCTTAGCAGACCTCAGGCAGCGACTGCGGGCAGAAGTCTCCTCTTTTGAAAAGTATGAACTCGCTGTTGAAATGTAAGTAATTGTTTATAAGAGACGATACAAAGTAAGATGTGTTTCATATAAGTATTTATAAATTTTTATCTGAGATCAAAATTATTTCATGTGTAGGCCTTAATCGCATTAGAGGTTTGTATCAATTTTTTCTGAAATTTCCTATGAGGAATAAGTTATTATTTTAGGTGGTATGGCAAGACAGATTTACTTTTCATGTTGATGTCACCTGATGTCAATAACACTATTTGTTATAATGTTTATATTTGTATATATAGAGACTCTATAGAAATTACTGTGATTACGGTCTACTATGGGTGAGGTTCATAACTCCAAGTTAAAATAAAACCAAATACTTAAAAAATACAGAATTGCATACGTCCAAGCATAATGAATTCCAAGTAAATACCAAAATATCATACGTCCAAGTTTCATAACTCCAAGCGTTTATAACACCAACGTTCATAACTAACTCCAAGTTAAAATAAAACTAAGTACTTTAAAATAAAAATTTCATAACTCCAAGTGTACAGATTTGCAAGGACCACAAGTATAAGTATCATAACTCCAAGTGTTCATAACACCAAGTAACAATGAGTACAGTCCATGCAGGAAACGATAACACACGCACACACACACTCACACACATACGGGGTTTTACCGAATACTCGCAAACACCTAATTGTGGCATCTTTCAAACTGCGGCCACCAGTGGATGAAGGAAGGTGGTAGAACCATGTGTGCATCGATATTTTTAATGAACACTCCATTTTAACATCTAACATTCCAGTTTTTAATTGTGGCACCTTGCCACAAACCGGTATATATCAACAGTGTGTGGACAGGATGCCACTAATGCGTTGTAGCGCTTGAGCGGTGTGTTCGCCCCACCCTACTTCTCGCGTACGCTGTTGCCAGTTCTCCGTTCTAGTTCCTTCATTCCGTTCTGTATTCATGTGGCTATGCCCTAGCCGCCGTAGCTCAAAAGTCCTTTCGGGCTCCGCCCCAGTGGCTCTGGAGTTTCCCATGTTAACCTTATGAGTAATCATATTTAAAAGGAATAAAAGAATTTTGTCAGCTGTTTCAACTACACAAGTTGGTTCTATGATATTAAATAGCATTAAAAAGTTATAAGGTTTACCAACAGGGTGCAGTACTATTAACTTTTTTGCACTTTGTGTCCTCTTCCCGTTGCAAAGCACGGGTACAACAGCTAGTGTATATTAAATGCACAAGCTGTATCCATGGCATTGCAATATGAACATGAATATGGCAATATGGCATTGAATTGAATTGAATTGAATTGAATAGACTTGTTTTTTGTCACAGCTGCCTAGACAACTATTTATTGTAATTTTTTATTAAGCTGATTCCTCAAAATATTTCAGATAAATAAGAGGGACGTTATATTGCAAAACATACTTGGGTGAAAAATAGCGTTCGTACCACGAGCCAAAATGGGTTTGCAGCTCTCGATCGATTCACGTTCTCGAATTTGTCTCGAACTTAAAACCCAATCTCGAGTCGGCAAAACCTCACTTTCGGCCCTAGGTACGAAATATACTATTTTTGTACGGTGGATTTAGAGACCCAAACTTGGTAGAGGTATCCAAAGAAACATCTTGGTCTGTAGATGAGTTAGGTATCAAAAGAAAGACTAATCGAATTCCCTTAGGACTCTGCCCCAGAAGCCTTTAAAGATCCCTCCACAGAGCTGTTTACATTTTGGCCATGTGAATAATACTTTTTAATGAAACAGCTGTTCATTTTTAAATTGTATTTCAAACAACACACATTTATTGGTAGTTACTGAATTCTACCAAATAAGGTAAAATTACAACATGGTCATAATGTAAACAAATCTGCTGAGGGAACTTTAAAGGCCTCTGGGACAGAGCCCCATGAAAATTTACCTCGTTTCTCTTTTGATAGCTCATCTACAGACCTTTCTTTAGACACCCCTACCTAGTTTCTACGCCCAGCCATTCTCTCAAATTAGCTGTGACAAAAACCCCGTTTTTTCCTCCATAAGATCACTGACGCAGAGTCCCAAGGGAATTTACCACATTTCTCTTTTGTTGGCTCATCTACATACCAAAACCTTTCTTTAGACAAAGTTTCTATGCCCAGCCATTCTCTCAAATTAGTTGTGACAAAGAAAAACTGTTTCAAATTATTTTAATCACAATTTGATAATGTTTAATGGCCACACTTTTCTTAAAGCACGGGTCACACTAGGATGCTCGCCAGCCGCTGGTGATCACCAGCTGGCAGCAGCATCACCAATCAGGATGTGTCAGCTACGAATTTTGTGGTCACATTACGCTGACAGTAGCGGCTTCTTTCAATTCGCCGCTGATGCCAGCCTAGTGTGACCCGTGCTTAAGGCTCATGTTGTTATATATACTCAGTTTTAGGCTGTAGTTTTTTTACTAAGTTTATTCCTTTTATTGGCTCGCACACATCGGGCGGGCTGCTGCAGAGGCTTTGATCCAGTCGGTCTATATCCCTGACGTCTGATATTGTCATGATTGGTCACATTTTTTTTTATTTAAAAACATTGTAATCCGTATTTTTCTATATGGGATTCAGCTCATTTTGTTGGAGTAAATATAATGGGCTGAGTCTCGTGCGGGGGAAGTGCGACGTTGCGTTTATTGTTAAAAAGTAATGTACCTTATTTTAGAATTCAAATTTTTGTTAGCGTTTAAAATACAGTTATTTAGTTTAGAGCTTGGATTTATTTAATTAATTTGTGTACTTAGAATAAAAAAGTGCAGTGATTAGAGCAATTTTTACAATACTCTTAGACTGATGATATTGTTAACTCTTCCCCCGATCACGGATCAATAGTCTATTCGGGGGAATAATTCCTTTTACTTAAAATGTATTGTAATGATTGTTTTTATTTTACGAAATAAATCGTTTTGACTTGACTTGACCTGAAAATCGCCAATAATGGCTTGCCACTACAGAGTTTGCCCATTGCCAGTTGGAGGGTTAACAGGTTTTTGTACTAAACATTGACTTAAAATTAAAAAATATACCCCCGAGCATCAAACTGTTGATTGACCTAGCATTCTTGTGTTAGGGCGTCATGGGTGAAGAGTGGGGAGTGTCGGTGCTGTCTACCAGGTACGGTGACATACGATGACTGTGTGGTTGAGCTGGAGTGGATAGGGAGTCAAGCAGGATCTCTTGAAGCTGGCACTCTCTCCATACTGACTGTAGACAAAGCGCATACTAGGGTAAGCTGATAGAGAGTGAAGTTGTCAATTACTGTTTTATCCCTGCTACACCGACTGCCTATGTGACAAATAACATATGTTTAATGTTCATTTGTTTATGTTGTGTTTGTAAATATTTACTTTTGGTTTTAATAAAGCAGAGTTAATACAAAACTTTGATCATTAAAAATTTGCGTGCATGAGTAATAAATAAAACAGTTTAATGCTAAAGATAAACTAGTTCTTATCTTTAACAATAGTAGTGTCGTTTTGAAGGTCAGTCGGGAGGTCCACCAATCTCGTCGCTACTTTCTTAGCACCGTTGTCTATCCACAGTATTCTGCCGTCCATGGTCCAGACGTTCTTGCTTCCGTACCGTGACACCACTCTTCTGTACAGATCTTGACGGCGATGTGTAAGGTCTTCTTTAATGACTACGCCAGTCCCCTTGAGCTTTTTCTTCGAGTCGAACACCATCCGCCTAGTTCGGTACGATGTAAATTGGACGATGATGGGACGATGGCGCGGTCTTCCCTCCTCATCTGTCGACCCGCGTTTGCCGACACGGTGTGATCGTGAAATAGCTTCCACTGGAATGTCTATGCCGAGTTTGTCGTGGCAGATCCTGGTCACTATCGCGTCAGTTTCTTCACGCTCTGTCTCCTTGATGCCGAACAGACGGATATTATTTCGCCTCTGGTATTGTTCGAGCTCATCAGTCCGATCCGCTAGACTGTCATCAAGATCTTTAATCTTTTTTTGCAGGCTTGACACGTCATCTTGTAGCTTAACAATAACTTCGTTAAAGGTGTTTAAAGCCGCTTTCACAGCCATCTTAACAGCCTTCTCCACAGCCGCATGTATAGCGTCGAGTAGCGCTGCACCGATCTTATCGCTGGTAAGAGGCATTGTTGTTTTCTTTATGAGTGGACTTGAAGTCGGAGACGCTGACGGAGCCGATAAGGAACGCTGAAGATTTCGTCCTTCGCCACCAGATAACAGCACCGGCTTGCCCTTGGATCCTGAGCGTGGCTTTTGTGGCGATCGGAACATGAAAGTCTTTGAGGTTATAATTTAAATAATCACCACAAATTACTTACATTCACCAAAGTAGACGTTGCAAGATCACAATTTAAAAATTCACTTCTAACACTTCACGAAAAATACAGTTTTAGATAAATATCTTCTAGTTGCAAATGAGAAAATAAGCAAAATCACGGAGCCGATATGTACACGTGTTTACTCTATATAGGTCATCCCCTCTCTCCTAGTGTATAGGCCTAGTCAATTATATCTTCCATCGCATACCTGCCTCTTCTGTAATCAATGTCACCACAATACAACTACTCATCCTATACACAATTTCAAGTAGGTCTGAATATAAACTCCCTAAAACAAAACGAAAATATCCAATAAAATGCACAGTACACTTAATTTAACTTTGGTGTCCAATTTTTTAACGAATCGTCCACTCCTCTTCTTTATATCAATTTCTAAATAAATAAATTGTAAACAAAGAAAAGTAAAAACAACAACATTTAGTTTCTTTTGACTCAGCTGTTTGGTTAAAATAGCATCCGTTTGAAAAAAAAACTGGCCAAATGTTGAATGAGTTTAAAAAGTAAACACTGCTAGTAAAGCTAGTGACGTAATTGTCCATGTTTATTATCCATACCGTTATCAGTTCTAATATCTTTGATAATAATTAACCACCCTCATTGAATCAATGTACATAGTAATTCCCCGTATTCGTTTGTTTAAACTATAACATATTTAGTTGAAATAAAAGTGGTATTTTGCCTACATCAGCGCCCCCAAACGCAACAACAACTGAACACACGCCAAACAACTTTTTAGATGTCATAAAATGGTTAGTCTAATTGCAGTATCCTAGGTCAATGATGACGTTGTGTTCAATCTATGTCATCTATCTGTATATCTTTGGATAAAACCCGTTTTTTGTTGTGGTTGCAATTTACAGTTGTGATTCCTGATGACTCTTGATCTAATCGTGTACAGAACCTCGAATTGTATACAGCAATGGTCTTACTTATATCTGTGGTCCAATTATCACTACCAAACTTACTTATTTCCTATAATCAATGACAAAATCAGAGTAAATAAACAACCTAATAGTTCTAAAGTGTATTTTTATATTTAACCAGCTGTTAGTTAAAACAAATGATATTGCACTTAAACAAACCCAAGATTACAAAAATATTACTTTAAAAAATAATTTGAACACCCTAGTAGTTTACTATGTATATTTAATTAATCTGTCATCCTCTTACCGAAGAATTGAACTCATTAAAGATTAGCATTACACATAGTATAAATAAGTCAACCCTTAGTATGTTTTTTCATTTTTATCCAAATGCTGAATTTGTATCACAAACACTGAATGTTTACAGCTGTTATGTTAAGCAAATTATATCATACCAAAAGCTAGTTTAGAATGTTAGCGTCGGCTGCTAGACTTTTTAAAAATTAATACTTAATTTCAAAAAAACTGGGGCCCTAAACTAAAATTATGGCTTCGACATTCCCTAGTTCTCAAAATTATCTTTCTTTCAACACAAAAATCATGAAAATCCGTCAAGTGGTTGATTCAGAATCGTGAAATAAAAAAACCCTGTTACGTTTTAATATTATAGATTTTATCTTTCTATTGACTAAACCACAAGCATGTGTCGTTTGCATGATTTTTTACTTTCTCCCCCTATACCATAGTATATGGAGAAAGTATTGTTTTCGTCAAAATTTTTGAGTTTGAGTTTTGAGTGGATATATTCGTTTTTGGTCTCCCTGGACCCAAAAAAGTGGTTTTCGAAGTGATGTCTGTGTGTGTGTGTGTGTGTGTGTGTTTGTATTCACCGAATAGTGGCATCCTTCACAGGCACACGGCCGTATTGTGGCACCTTCAAAAATTGTGGCACCTTTTTCAGGGTGCCACAGCTATTCGATCATTTTTGAGGTTTTCCAGCATTATTACGTCGTTTAAACATCACATGCCACAATTGAGTATTTTTGAACTCGTTGATGTGAGTTTAAGTAGGTACACGCCGAATTGTGGAACACGAAACCATACAGGTAACTAGCGCGCCTCGCGCCGTCCGCTGGAACTAGGGATGGTCAAGTCTCGAAATTTCGGGAAATTTTAAATCTCGTTACACGAGACGAGATTTCTTTTTGGCCGAGATTTTTATCGAGACGAGAATAAAAAATAAAAAAAAAATTAAAAACGCCTGCAGAAAGTCAATGCAATACCCGCAATACAGGAGCGTGTTGTAGTTGTGTTTCCTTTGTGAAGGCGTTCTTATTTAATTAATTCTTTAAATGTAAATATTACTTTAATTATTTTAATAATATTACTTTAATAACATTTGAGAAGTTTTGTTAAGTGTAAGCAGTGTGAGGAATGTTTTATTACTATTACAAAGTCAAAACAAGTAACTATTTTATAAAAATTAATATTGCTTTTATTTTATGATTTATTTTATTTTAGGATAAGTTGAACTCTATCCTAACTGATATCACTATGTTTCCTAATCGTAGGCATTTTTAATAAGTTAGGCGTGATTAATAAAAAAATGTTATGCTGATGTTTTTTAATAAAAGATTGTAAATATTCTTGCCTATTGTCATTATTTTTGTATTTAGACAGTCATCTAACAATGTTACAAAATCAGGTAAAAATTTTGAACGTGCATTTCCCGTTGTGTATGAGAAGGGAAATCCCGTCTCGATCTCGTCTCGAAATTTTATGAGAAATAAAAAATCTCGTCTCGTCTCGTCTCAAACTAAAAATCCAATCTCGTCCATCTCTAGCCGGAACTATAACTTTTCTAATGCTACGTTGCCAATTCTCGCGCCAGCCTACACTCTAAATAGTGGCACCATGCCACAATTCAGTATATATCAACAGTGTGTGGACAGGATACCACTTAATGAGTTGTAGCGCTTGAGCAGTGTGTAGAACAGTGCAACAAGCAACTAATAAACTAATAATACTGTACTGCCACGTACTATAAAACAATTTAAGTACCATAAATAATATACTTTTGCTCCGAGTGGTGAATAATGTTTTACATTACAAATAATTTGTGTAGTAAATGATAATTTAAATTGATTTTACCTAACACGCCATGTTAAGATTCCCTATCCCAAGCGTGATGTATACAACTTCCTTACTTCTCGAGTGATGTAAAGTATCAAAAACTCACTCGGTGATGTAAAGAAACCCATTTAAATAACATTGAGTGCTTAACTTAAAAAATATAACTCTATGGAGCCAACGATGTTAAACGCTAGAAATCAGCTGTGCGCTTGAATGTTATTGTTATGCTTTAAAGTACAGGTCGGGGCAGGGAAGTATCCCTAATTTTGAAGGTACATTAAAAGACAACCAAAAATGTTAGAACCAAACTTTTTATTGAAATTAAATGTTACATCTGGGATTTTTTTAAATATAACTTTACTTGGTTTTCAACAGCATATCCTTCAAGTGGTGTCCCTAATCTTAAATGCATTGCTGTATTCTGCTTCTGGAGATCATAATAACTTTGTGAAGCATTTGTTGTGGAATGCGGCAAAATTAAAGGTGAATTGCATCCTTCAAGGCATCTAGGGTCCTCCCTTGAACTACCCTAGGCTTAGCATCACTCCAATAGAGCACATTCTGCTTATTTACCACTCCAGAAATATCGAAGTGTTCCTCGTCACTAAACAAAACATGAGCAGCTTGAGGCAGTCCAACAATTAAGATTTGGAGACATGCATGTATTCGTTGTTGCCAGTCCCGTTGTGTGAGTTCATGCGCAACTACCCTCTTGTATAGATGGAGGTGTAGGTCCCCATGGAGAATACGAGGTACAGTACGATTAGACAACGCCAATGCGGATGCATGCTTACAAGCAGAACTTTGAGGAGACTGCAAAATCGATCTTCTGACAAGGTCAATGTTTTCAGGACTCCGGACGGTTCTTTGAGCTCAAAATATCCTTCGCAATACACCACCACAT